CACAATCCTTTGAGCCCCTCCGTCTATAGGCTGGTTGAAGCGGCCACCACAGAGCCGCTCAAAACACAGGCCCTGGGGACACCACTCCAAACTGTCCCATGGATGGGACGGCTCTGGCCCCATCACTTTCCATAAGGGACACAAGCAGGCTAGTTATTGACAGTGTATGTGACACGTAGCATATCTATAGCTCGTTATCATGAACTCGAGCTACAGACCTGATCCAAAGCGAAGTCAGTGAAAATGCTCTCTGGCGTTAGCAGGCTTTGCATAGGCCCCATGTGGAAATGTTGGGGAACAGGAGAAAAATATATACTCCTAATAAGTAACTAAATGTTGTATTGATTCTGTATTTAAGGAGCCGCTGACAGCATCATGTGCTCGATTCTAATGCAGAGTCGAATTGATTTTTAGTCTTTAAAAAAGATCCAAGCGCAGGAGTCTTTTAAAAATACATTTTCAAGAAACACTGCCCATAACTGTTGCAATCTCACAAACCTTGATCCCCAGCTCTATGTTCTCTCCTCCATACACATCCATTCCGGGATCCAGAAGACCAATTTCTCCAAAGAATTTCCTGTTCACAACAAACGAGCAGCCAATCATAGCAGGTGTCCTGTTGGAAGAGGAAAAATCAATAGGAAGAGCATTGTCAGCCATGTAGTTATTAGTTATACAATAGGATCAATGGACTCAAGGGAAGTTACCTAATACCTAGAAGAGTGTTTCTCAAAATGGTCTGAGAAAGCTGCTACCTGGGCCGCTCTGGTTTGTTTATTTACGGGCTCCGCAGACTCAGAGCCTCCCAGCGGCTGTGGTTCTCTGTTTGCAGCCACCGGCAGCCATGGGCAGCCCTCCACTTCACAACCCCCTGCCCTGACTTCTGCACACCTCATAGCAGCTGCCTTGAATCCCCACTTCTGCCCTGATTTTGTACCCTCCATAACCCTGACTCATCTTCTGCACTTCCCACCCCCTGCCTTGAGACCCCCACATCGCTCAGCCCCCTGCCCTTAGCCTCCCCCTGCAATCAGGCAGTACCTTCATACATTTCACCCGAGTAAGACGGCACAAAACTCAACTGCCAGTATACATTACATGGAGGAATGGGAGTTCTGTGGTGAAGGCGCTGAACTTAAGAGATCTGGATTCAATTCTCTGATGGGTTACAGACTTCCTGTGTGACCTTGGGAAAGTTACTTAATCCCTCTGTGCCTCAGTTCCCCATGAGTAAAGTAGAAATACCACAACTATCTTTTACTCCCCCTTTTTTCTCTTGTGTCTTTAGAACATAAGCTCTTCAGAACACCAGTGGTTTTTTGCTATGTACTTGCACTATGTCCCATCAAATGAGGCCCTGGCTATGGGTGGAATCTGCAAGGCAATGTAAATAACAACAATAATATAATTCCAGAGACGGGAATATGCCTCACTAATGAATAACACTAATCATGCGGATGAACCACGTTAATTGAACAAATATTCACACAATATTTTATTGTACATTAATTCCTCACTTAACACGTGCCCCCTTAACACATTTTCGCGATACCGTGATTTTTTTTAGGGAACGTTTTTAGAATTATACGACCATCCCTGGAATAATACGATTTCCCCAGCTGGCCCATTGCCGGCAGCTATGCGGGGCTTCCCTTGCCTCCCTGCAAGGTGGCGGAGGGTTTGCCGCTCACTACGTCATTCCCCACTGACTCCCGCTCGCCCGACGCTTCCAGCCTGCCTCCCGCTGCCTCCCTCTGCCCCCACTTGCAGGCTGGCCTGTTGCTGGCGGCTGCGCAGGGCTTTCCCCGCCTCCCTGCAAAGTGGCGGAGGGTTCGCTGCTCTCCGCACCATTCCCCGGCGACCCTGCCTCACTGGATGCAGTGCGGGTCCCGGCAGACCCGTCACAGGGATATACTCCCAACCCAATCCCCCTCCCCTCTCCTTCCTTCCCCAGAGCCAAACACCTCCCCTCCCTGCTGTAACCCAGTCCCCTTTCTCCCCCAACCTTATGTCCCGGTCCCAACAGAAACCACCGCTTGAAATGCAACCCCCACCTTTTCCATTATTTTCAATGGGAAAATTGACCCCGCATAAAACGTTTTCACTTAACATGATCATTTTCTGAAATATATCTATTGTGTTAAATGAGGAATTATTGTATTGTTTTCCCAACTCTTCCAATAGCCAGAAACAGTTACTCTTGAGTGAGCGGGAGTGAAAGATTTGACCCCAGTATCCTGCAAAAGTTCTTGCTCTTTGATTGATGAATCAGAATTATTGCTCTCATCCTCCGGAAGGCCAGCCAAGCCGAAGATATCCATTACAAGAAAAGATTCATAGAAATGCATGTCGGGTGCTGACTTTAACATATGCACAAAAAGATACAGAAGAAATACACTGGATATTTTCCTAATACTTATAAAACAGTAATGCAGCGATGGGCATCTAAACTAGTGAGTAGCACGTCATCTCAGTGGGCCGCAAGATTGTCAGAACCGTAGATGGTCTCCTGGGATAGGTTCGTTTTTCGAACTGAACTAGAATTTGTGTGCGAGTGGGAGGTGCCGATTGAATTGTTTCAGTGCTTTGATTGATTGCAGAGGGAGCGCCTGGCTCTCACAGTCACTGTTGTGTGCAATCAGCCCGCACCTCACTTCATGTGCCCTTGCTTTAAGTGAATGTCACTTTAGTAATACCGCAAGGAAAAATCCTACATGGAGGAAACTATAGGAATGTGGCAACTCTGCGTGTGAGCAACAGTAAACAAAATGTCTAGCAGGCCACACACAGAACCACACTGGGATGCAGGCAGCTCGCAGGTTTGCTGTTTCATAAATTGCATTTGCTTGAACTGTAAGTAACCATCAGTTAGTCGGGGAAAAGGCCAGTGAGAAGAGAGCACTCAGCCCCTGTCTGAGGTGACCACCACAAGGTTAGGGGTCAAGCCCCAGGAATCCTGGGCCCAGCCTTGTTGGAGTTACAGGGGAGTGTGTGTGTGGCGGGGGGGAGCCCTCAAGGTCAGGGAGGTCTCTGGGTAAAAGAAGAGGGAGCGGCAACTCAGGCCCTTTCGCGTGCCCATTTCACCGGGGTTGTAGGGTAGGAGCCAGGAAAGCTCCCCACAATAGCGGGACCGTTCCCCTGCTTACGTTGAGCAGACTCTTTTTCAGATAGCTATTGTAGCCTGACTTTCAATAAGCAGCACAATATTTCATGGGTTGCTGCAACTCGAACACTTAAGAATTCAATTTCATTGCTTTCGTTGTAGCCAGATTACTGCCATTAGCAGAAACAATTCATTTTGAAATGATAATCACATTAGAGATGCCAAGATCTAATAGTTCCCTTATCATGGATTAAACAAAAGGAACAGTCACGCTTTTTCCGTCCCGGAATGTCCCTTTTCTCAGCTCTCTTCTGATCTGGGAACCTGGCCTGCACACTTTAGGAAGGTCCACACAGCAGCTAGACTCCCACGGCTGGTCCACTCACCCGGGCGCACGCTGTGGCTCTCTCATTGCTGAGTAGACGTTGAGGATCAGGCTGGAACCTGAGCTCTGGGAGCCTCCCCCTTGCAGGATCCTAGAGGCCGGGTCTTGACCTGAGCCCAGAAGTCTGCACGGTCATGAAATAACCCTGCATCCGGAGCCCGAGTCAACTGGCGTCGGCCCTCTGGAGGCATCTAGCGGCTGTGCAGACTTACCCTTGGGGATCTAGTTGTGGGGCCAGTGGTGCTGGATAAAATGGTGTCCTTGGCCTCTGTTTGTCAGAGGCTGGAGAGGGATGGCGGGAGACAAATCGCTTGATCATTGTCTTCGGTCCACCCTCTCTGGGGCACCTGGTGCTGGCCACTGTCCGCAGACAGGATACTGGGCTAGATGGACCTTCGGTCTGACCCAGTACGGCCGTTCTTATGTTCTTATGTCTGCAGAAAAATTAAAATAGAAATTAAAATAAACGTACGGAGCCTCTCGCAGCCAGCACGTCCTGCAACACACGTTGCTTCCTATGGCTTGGGAAGCAGTGTGGGTTGAGGGACATTCAGGCTGCAGGCACAGATAGATTGTTTGAGAGGGGCATAAAATTTTAATAGACTGAAAAGGGGTCCGTATGCTCAAAAGGGTTGGGAACCACTGCCCTAAGGCACCAAGTCCGCATTTGAAAATCAAAATATTTTATTTTTGGCCTTTTCTTTCCGGATTTCAGTACCTTTAACCGATAAAAAAAAAATCAACATTTTTCCGAGAAGAAAACTCCCAGTTTTCTAACCAGTTCTAATACTAAAATCTCATCACTAGTGACTTGAATGAAATCAGCTGATGGACAAAGACCAGACCAGTTCTTAGTGAACAATAGCACAACCAGAGGCAAGGTATGGTTGGGGCATGAAGAGATAAGCCCCCACAACCTGATTTGCTGCTTGGCTTGTGCTGAGCATAGGGTAGCCAGGTATCCGGTTTTCACCCGGATTATTCAGTATTTGACTCCCCCGTCAGGTAAAAAAAAACCAGGAAATACCGGACACGTGAAATGTCCAGTACAGGCAGTCCCCGGGTTACGTACAAGATAGGGACTGTAGGTTTGTTCTTAAGTTGAATTTGTATGTAAGTCGGAACTGGTACATATTGTAGGGGAAACTCTAGCCAAGCATTTCTCCAGAGCTCAGTTTTATTCTCCCACACCTCACTTCCCTCAGTCCTTTATTCTCAAGCTGAGGTGTCTGCTGAGAAAAGTCGCTCTGTGTCTCCCTGGTCTGCTGGGGGGGAAGCAGCTAGTGCGGGGTTGCCTCACCCCGTTTGTAAGTAGGGATCCGATGTAAGTCGGATCCATGTAACCTGGGGACTGCCTGTATTTCCTGTTTCCCTCAGACGGAAGCCCAGCAGGGACAGTTTTCCCCTGCTGCGTCTAGCGGGGGTGGGGGAATGAGAAGCGCGGGACCATTTAAGGGCACAACAACCTTTTTTTTTTTCGATCAACTAAGTTTGCCATGTTCAGGATTTTTGTTGAAAGCATCTGGCAAGCCTAGCTATCCTCACTACACACTTCCCTATAGGCCATCTCTGGGCCCACTCCACAAAACTACAAAAGCAGACAAACCACAAACTGTTATCCTTTTCTACAGGCAAATATTTTAAGGGTGAAGGCCCCGACCCTGCTAATATTCACTGACGTGCTTCACTTTATGTACTTGAGTAGTTCCACAGAAATCAATGGGAGTACTTGTAATGCATAAAATTAAGCATGTATACACATCTTTGTGGGAACAAAGCCTCAGGCCCTAATCCACTGCATCTTGAAGTTA